AACATATGCCTAGCCATTGGAAGCTAATTTTTCCACAAAAATTACCACGTTTCTAACATATGCCTAGCCATGGAAGCTGATTTTTTGTTTATCTTTTATCAGTCTCCATTATTTGGCTTATCAGATCCAATCTGCTTCATGTAAAGTTTGTGTAAGATGATGTATTAACCATGTGTTGAATTATGCACAGTCTTATATCTGAACAACATCTAATTAAAATTAACTGAAATTTTCAGTGTATGATAATAGATTACCTTTATTGTTTTATGAGCTTTGCTTTTGAACAAAATATTTTAAAACAGATGTTAAATTCAACTTATGTTAACATAAAAGATAGAATATTATTCAAATAGTAAATGGTTAAATTTTTTTAAAGATATCATGTAAAATATATTGATTTTTGTTACATTGCAATAATAAAGCAACAACAACAAAAGTTTTATGCTAGAGAATTATGTTTGGTAAACAGAATTTTGTTAGTAGATACACAACTTGAATGAAGAAGAAAGCTAGAACTAAGATATTGCAGGGTGCACTTCAGTTTTCTGTATGACACATTGGCTTAATGTGGGAATTATTTTTATATTTGTTTTTTAGTACCCCACATGTGAGGTAGATAATCTTGTTTATATATATGTGTGTGTTTGTTCTGTAGAACATTTTCAAGTACAAAGAGCACATGTAGGAGAAATAAATCATCACAGTATTTCTATTATAATTTGTTTTGTTTTATTGATAAATATTACTTTCTTTTGTATGTGTGTGTGTGAAAAAAGTGTGGAAGGAGAGAGAAAAAGGTGAAGAAAAATGTTAAGAGTAATTTCATCAAATATGAATGATACAAACAGATGCCTTTGCAACCTGGGATAAAGTGTTACAGAAAACAAAAAAATGTTTTCATGAAAAATGTTTTTTACTGATGAAGTCCTGTAGGTATTCTGAACAGTGAAATTAAAGTGTACTCTACAAATCATAATACAGATCATGCGATATCACACAATTGAATTTCATAGTCCTCTAAAGTAGTGTTTCTCAACCTTTTGAATAATAGGGACCAGCTCAATGCTTATCTAAACTGTCACGGACCACTAAATTGCCAGAAGGACAAAAATACCATTACAATTTACATATGAATATTTTGTCAGTTTTTGTGTGACTTGGGTGAAATCCTATTGACTGCAAGGTGGTTGAGAAACACTGTTCTACTTATTGTATCTTTGTCTTGGTTTTAAAATACAATTTACTACTATAGGAAACCTGACAAAAGAAATTATGATGACAGAATAGGAATACATTACAATAACAGTTGAACACAAAATTATACCTATGTGTATGTTTGCATAACAGTGCTTAAAAGTAAAACATTATTTAAGATCTTCTGTCATTAACATAAATCCTGGAATTTTATACAGCTGGGCAATTCCCTGGGTGAAAAGAGAATTTATGGAATTTTTATGTTGTCACAAGTGATTAAACAGGTAGCTGGGAATATGTATGTATTTGTAATAAAACACAGGTTAACTTTTAGTATATTGCTGTTATTCTGTTGCAAGATAATTGATAAATGCTAGCATGTAATTGTCAGTTATACACTTAACACTGTTAATGGTGATAGTTATAATATTTCAGCATAAAGTTTCTCTTACCTTCTCTATTTTTAAACTTACATTATCATATTAAATTTTTTTTTGGAAATATTTTACTTTGGGATAAAATTACATTAAAAACCAGTTGAAATTACAAGATCACTGAACCATCCTCTGACCATGGTGTGTTCTGCTTTCTTCAAGTAATGCAGAACTGAGCCATTTTAATATTGGCCAACAAACATACAGGAAAGTTACATTATACCCCACAATTCAGTATATCAGTTTTCTTTTCCAAAATAATGTACACCTACATCCTTAAGTAGTTACTTCACAACAGGAAAGTCTTTCCATTTGAGCACACACTTCAGATTATAATTTCAAGTTATGGGTAAAGCTTGATAAATAACAGCTGTATTTCAGGCAATAGTGTATTGAATGACTTTAGTTATACTTGTACCAATTAACCCAGTCTTCTTCAGTGCACCATTGCATCCTATTTGGGTAGTGTTCTAACAAAACTGTTCCTATTTGAATTCATTTTTATTATGTAAAAAATAATTCATAAGTTGGTCATTCACTCGTTGGTAGAATAACCATGTGTGTTATACAGAGAAAGATATAGTTAAAACAACATAGGCAACAAAGATATCTAAATTAAATAATAAGCTGAACAGTCACCTAGTTTTTTATATTTTTATTTAAAGAAGGATGACGTTTTGAGCTAGTGCTCTTCATCAGATTGTAAAGCTTACAACAAAGGCACATGTGCAGAATTCAAAGAAATTTCTTGCATGGTATTTATAATGTTGAGCATGGAACTTCGTGATTGTTCAACCTCTTCTTTATTTTAATCATGTGTGTTAGTCATTTTTAAGCAGAAAGTGGGTATTTCTGCACTAAAAACTTCAGTAGAACTGTTTTTTGAAGATTTTTCTTGTGATATGACAACATAAGGAATTCTAAAAACCCATAAGTGAAAGCAAAGAATATGTCAACCACATTACATGTGATGTATCCAGTACTGAAAACACCATGGCTCATCCAGCTGTCTGGGTTATGACACACTTAATGCTCTGTTTTACTTTCTAACTCTGTGTGTAGTTGCAGTTTAGTTTGCAATTAATGGGCTTGTTGGAATAAGAACAACATTTGATGTAGTTCTTTGTTTACAGACCAGCAGAAAATGGCACCAGCTATCAAAGGTATCTGTTTGTGCATATGAAACTCCTACATACATACACACAGACACGAGAGTGGAAAATGACAAAAACCTGTCTTCAATAACAAATGACCACTTTTCAGTTACAATGCAGCATAAAAGATTTCTTGCTGCTTATTTCATTTGCTACTGCTATCTCAATCTTTACTAAGGCTTTACAGTTTTTCTTCTTTCCTGCTTTCAAAAGAAAATTTGGCTAGGAAAATAATTGAAGAAATTCTGTGACATTCTTTGCTTGTGTAATGTTAAGATAATACTGCAAAGCACAGAATATTTTACATATGATCAAACCTTTGTGAGAAGAAAAACACCATTCATAATGGCCATAAAAGGTTAGTACAAATTATGTTATTTTTAATTATGTGATAAAGTTAGAATATTTCAATGAAATGAGGCTAGAGATACTCCATTAATATAAGTATTGAATGTTTCTCTTTGGAAATCTCAACATCTAAATCTTCTTCCTATACAAATAATTAAATATGTCAATATTTGGCTTGCTAAATTAAAACATTGAAATTATAGCTTACAACACTGCCCCCTTTCTGGCTTGTAAAGTATCTTGAACCATTCTAATATGAAACTAAAATGTAAAAATAAACTCTCCATTTATCAAGTTTGTAGTAGTTTTCTTTTCTGGGAATTAAAACATACAGATGAGATAGCCTCTTCTTGCAACTTTTCCTGTCATTTGGGGATTCCTCCCTGGGCAGGTGGTTCAGCAAAACCATTGGTAACTCTATCCTCGTTGATCATCTGGAAATGAGCTCAAAAGGAATGCTGAGCTTCACAGCAGGGTAACTTTATTTACATGGACAAATTTTCTTCCTGACTTCCTCACAAGTATACTTCTAAAGACAATCGTGGTGGATGGTTTTTGGCTTGGATTTCCTGTCCCTCTGACTTCTATAAACTATGTCATTGATTCTTTTCAATATAATATGGCCTTTCCAATACCTGCTTAACTTTGGAGTTTGTTCTTTCTTGTGGCACCGATTGTATAACTCTAATGTGTCACATGAATGAAATCTTGTCTTATCAGTATTACCATCATAGCAACTTTTCATCAATAGCTGATTTAAGTCTTTCCCACTAAAGTTTTGTATGATTTCACTGGTGTTCCTTAATCTCTCTGCACATTCTGTGTAAGACTGTTACAATACCATTCTCTATGTTAGAGTACAGAAGGCCCAATGATATATTTAAGTTCTCTCTCAAACATCAGTGATAATAGTGTGTTGCTT